CCTCCCAGATCTAGCCGGAGGAGGGAGGGGGGAGGCCGGCGGGGGCGGGGGCGGTGGCGCGGCGGCGACTCCCTTCCCCCCTCCCTCCCAGATCTGGCCGGAGGAGGGAGGAGGGAGGCTGGTGGGGGAGGCCGGCGGGGGCGGCGGCGACGACGACGGCGTGGGGCGGCGGCGGCTCCCCTCCCCTCCTCCCTCCCCGATTTGGCCGGAGGAGGGAGGGGGGAGACGGGCGGGGGCGACGGCGGCAATGACGACGCGCGGGGCCGCGGCGGCGGCTCCCCTCCCCTCCTCCCTCCCCGATTTGGCCGGAGGAGGGAGGGGGGAGACGGGCGGGGGCGACGGCGGCAATGACGACGCGCGGGGCCGCGGCGGCGGCTCCCCTCCCCCCTCCCTCCCAGATCTGGCAGGAGAAGGGAGGGGGGAGGCCGGCAGGGGCGACGGTGGCGGCGACGACGACGCCCGGCGCGGCTCCCCTCCCAGATCCGGCCGGGGGAGGTCGGCGGCGGCGGTGGCGGCAAGGCGCGCCCGCTATTTTTTTTTCCGTTCACTGGATTTTCGTAGGCGGGCCGTTGCCCCGATTGCGAAAATTGATGATTTTCACAGTCGTTGGGCTGCAGGCGGTCCTCCCCCCCCCTCTCCCCCGCCTGGAAAAATTACTTTTTGGCCACCTGCAAAAATACTTTTTCTAGTAGTGGCATGGGTGTGCATTTGTGAAGGAAGCGGAGTTGAAGGTGTTGTGTTGAGGATAAGCTTGGCAACAATAACGCTCCTTTCCAATTCTGTTGGTTATGTTTCGTTTGTTCTAAGAATCGTATGCCGGAAGGTGTGGTTGCAATCATGGCGTACCCGTGCAACAGCGGAGTAAGGTGAAGTAGGATGTTGCGTTGGTTGTGACAAGCTTGACAATGATAGGCCTTGTGGTGTCGGTTTCCTCCCCGGAGATGTTGTCGTTTTGCTTCTCACTTTGCTTGAGGTACATGTATATATACAAAGCTTATATGCAAATACTTTATATGTCTACTATTATAAAAACTAGAAAAATACTCGTGCGTTGCAACAGGTGAAGGCTATTTTAATTTTACTAGCAAGGATGCCCGTGCATTGGAATGGGTAAAGGTAATTTTAATCATGTATACTGGTGGGAAAATATATAAAGGAATCATAATCATAATAATAATAATATTAATGAAATAAAATTGCAGTGACCTTTGGTCAAAAAGATGAAAATATATAATTAATTTACCATTAATTCCAATAGCTAAAAATAATATAATACGAGGTAGGAAAAGTTATTCTCAAATTTTAGCAATTTTCAAAAAGCTTAAATAGAGCAAACTAATTATATAAATGAAAACAAATTTAATCACCAAAATAAAACAATTAGACCTGTAATTGAAAATCTGTTGCTAGTTCAGTTAAACATGAGCCTGCGGGTGTGTGTGGTATATATCTCTCACTCGTATGTCGTGGTCTTTTTTTTTTGACATAGAAAAAATGCCCGTGCATTGCGACGGGTAATTAAAATTATAACAAATATAAAAATATTATATGATTAAGGTTTAGTTTTACATGATATGAGCTCTTTAAGAAAATATATTTATAATGAAATAAAAAAGTTCAGCTGAAGTGACCTAAAGTGAACTTGTTCCATACGAAGCGTACACGTGGTCCATGAGGCGGCCCAATAGTGTGGGCGGCATGGGAATAGAATCGGGGAGGAACAACTTAAGCGACCTAAAGTGAACTTATTCCGTGTGGGCGGCCTGGGAATGGCGTTTGGCCTGACGCGGGAGAAGCCAAAGCCGTCCGATCTGATAGACGGTCATCCCAACCTATATAAAAGTTCAACAGCCCAAACCCTAACCCTAAAATCATTTCTCCTCCCCCCTCTCTCTCAAAACAATGTGGCAGCGGCCCGACATACCGACATCCCTGCAACGGCGGTGGCGGTTCGGCAGCAACAACGACACCCTCCCCGTCTGGCGTCGGCGTTTTCTTAGTGTTCTTCAATCTGATCTTGTATTCTTGTAGTAGTGTTTTCTTTATAATTTAGGTCCAAATTTGATGCGGTCTCTCATTTTTTTTCTTTCTTTTCTTTTTTTAATTTTTGCCATTGGAGAGCGATTGAAGCGGGATCGATCGCACATGAGATGGAATTTTTTTTACGGACGAAAACTATAACCCATAAGCCATACAAATTTTTTTAATTAGGTATATATAGATATTGAATTGGACTTTCCTTTTTTTTCATTTTTTTCGCCCTTTTTTGTTACTACTGATGTCAGAAACGTCTTTAATTTTTTTTACCGCGTCACATATAATCAGGTTCGATTTTTTTTGCCCGATTTCTTTTTCACTTTTTTTTTTCACGGATGGACGACGGAAACACTTTTTAATTGTTAAGTAGTAGAGATAGAGACAGAGACATAGATATAGATAGAGAAAGAGAAACGGAAAACTTTTTTCGCAACTTTTTTTTTGAATCGGACAGAAAAAAATTTTACGCTTGTTTTTTACCGCGTCGATGGAATCAGATTCGATTTGTTTTTTTACCACGCCATGTCACATATAATAGGATTCGATTTTCTTTGAAATCGGACATATACTTTTGTCTTTTTGGCCCTTTTCTTTACCAAGTACAGAGGTCGGATTCGTTTAGATTTTTTTCCTTTTTTCACCCTTTTTTACCGTGTAGACCGAGTCGGATTTGTTTCTTTTTTTTCCTTTTTTCGCACCTTTTTTTTGGATCGGACTTATTTTTTTCTTTTTTGTCGGTTTTTTTTGCCCTTTTTGATTTTTTTTCTCACACGGTTTTTTTCGCCCGCGGATTTTTTTTCGTTTGTTTCGTCCGTTTTTTTTATCGGACATAGTTTTTTTTCTTTTTTTGCCCAGTTTTTTTCGCACGGTTTTTTCGCCCACGGTTTTTTTCGGACGATGGAAGCACCTCTTATTTTTTAAGTAGTAGAGATTATTGTTATGTGATTTAGCTAAGGTGAAATTGATGGTGTTAAATTCGCTTGGATATATATTTTGTTAGAAAATCATGAGCTGTAATTAGGAGTTCGATCATCTCAAGTTAGCATGTGAGTTTTTTAAAAGATATATTTTATACGATTCCTTCTGTATTTTCAAAAACGAACGAACTTAAAAACTGACTCAAATACAGATTTGTGTTTCCAAAAACGAATGAAGTTAAAAACCGACTCATACACGGATGACGTAACAAAGTACCGGCAAAAACATCTTCAATTTTTATAATAGTAGAGATGAAGATGTTTTTGTCGGTACTTTGGTATGTGATCCGTGTTTGAGTCAGTTTTTAAGTTTATTCGTTTTTGAAATTACATATTCATATTTGATTTGGTCTTTAAATTCGTTCGCTTTTAGAACTATTATAATTATAAAAATTGAAGATGTTTTTGCCGGTATTTGGTATGTCATCCGTGTTTGAGTCAGTTCGTTTTTCAAATTACATATTCGTATTTGAGTCGGTTATTAAATTTGTTCGCGTTTATAAAAATGGAAGGAGTCGTGTAAGAAATATCTTTAAAAAAAACTCGCATGCTAACTTGTAAAAATAATATCCAAGCGAATTCCTATAATGAATTTTACTTTAGCTAAACCGTATAAAAATAATAAGATTAAGATAGTCTTCACATGTTGTAATGCATAGATATTTTTTCTAGTGTATATATATATATATGTGTGTGTGTAAACTTTTTATATACTTTGCATATGTACATAAACACACGTACATACGTACATGACGACTATTGGAGAAGGGGGCGTATCAGCCTCCCCCGGTCGGTAAGGACATGCTCCGGTGCCTGAGTTGAGTTGGGTTTTTGTGTTGGTTTTCTACTAATTATTAACCGTATGGTTGTATAATAAACTAGGTCAACTCGTTTTTCTTATTAATCCTATCTTACTATAAAATTATCCCCCACTAACTCCTTAAACTTGACATGCAAAGATGCCATATCATCATCCACTAACAATCATCACATTTAAACATCATGCAAACATGCTATATCTTTATAGTTTTTATAATTTAAGAGCTTCTCAAATACAAACATGTTAAATTATCATCCAATATAATTCACATAATATTTCAATGTGTATCTTTATTATGTTTTATGATATCCTATATAATTATATAGTTCATCCTCACTTAGTTAGTTCTTAAATGATTAATCTATGGTACAAATTATATTTCTTCTTTTTTTCCTCTAATTAAGTCATATCACATCAATTGTTTTTAGCCTTTAGATGATTAATCTACGGTCCAATAAATCTCCCTATTTTTTTTCTTCCATAAAGTCTACCACCTTACTGTTTACGTTTGAATCATCATTCTACATACTAATTAAATTTAAATTATCATAATCCATATTAATTTACTTAATCTAATGTTATCTAGCTTATATTACACTTTATTTTTTTTATTATTATCATGTTAAATTCCCACAGTAATACGCGAGGTTTCACCTGGTATAAAACAAACTCCATGCCCTTCTCGAGGTTTGCGTTGAAAGAAAAACAATATTGCAACCTGGCATAAACAGTGTTGTATAGCCCTAACAAAATGGCAGTACGACCGTATCACCGTAATACATGGGTCTCATCTCACGCTCCTACAATAATGTTTACATCGTCTCTTCTGATGGCAGCTTCACCAGCCACTACCAACTACCAACTTTTTTTAAGGAATAAAAATAACATGTGATGTTCGAGGACCCACATGTCAATTACTCTTACCAACTTTATTTTCTTTTAGAAACATGGTACAAACACAGACGCTCATAACGTGCGCACACTCACCCCTATGAACGCACACACGTACACCCTACCCCTATGAGCACCTCTGAAAGACTGGGCCAGCATATCTTGAGATTGACGAAGTTGCCACAGGCGTCTCGCTGTCGATGGGTACATCGCCTACCACTCAACTCTATTTTTTGTGGAAAGGGAAAAAGAGTGGAGCCCAAAAGATCCACATGTGAGTAATAACAAATATGTACAATAATTAAAAATGGTAATATCATGTTAATGATAATTAAAATCCCAATACAACACATGGACTATTAATATGCTATTAAACAATAATTCCGCAAACATGAAATGTCCACTAGCCCTAAATCATAGTCGAATCCGCTACAGTAGTGACAGGTCTATTTGGTAGAGCTTCAACTCCTAAATTTAACTTCAGGAGTTGAGTTTGAAGTAGTTCAGGAGTTGAGTTTGAAGTAGAGTTGTGGAGTAGTCTAAATTCAGCTCCTCCACCTCTCTAGTTCATTTTGTGAGAGCGCCCCACCTAGCTCCACTCCCATTTTAGGTGGACTGTCCGGCTGGACTGGAGCTGTGACAAACAGGTCCTTAGAGCCGTCCATCCTAATAGTACCGTGAAATTGGCCACCTGATACAGTTAGAATAGTGAGTACAGGAAGAACACGAAAAATAAATTGAAATAATCTTTTTTGGGCGTGGGGTAGGAGTGACTACTGGTAGAAGCATTTCTCGATAGCCTCCTCCACAGGAAGATATATTGATTGAGTATTGCAGTTCTCAGCCTTGACTATTGTTACCTCCACTGTTTTCGCAATATTTTCCACCAAGACTTCAAACAACTAAAGCCAAGACAGAAAAAAAAAAGGGGCTTGAGTGCAGACTGCAAGGTGAAAGAAATAACATATCTGGTCACATTTCAACAAAACTAGTAAACGCCAAGAGATAAATGAGTGGTAAATGTCACACCAATAAGTTGCTCTATAATAATAAAGATACTTTGGTACCTGTAAATTCGTAGTAACACGTTTCCCATTGCATCGAATAATAAGGTCTTTTTCTTGTAACCCTGCTGATAAAAGCTCCCGAGATACCTGGTTGAAAATTAGTACCAAAGATGACAATTACAGAATAACTATGAAATGCAGCACTTATATTGTTTATTGAGACAGTGCATTTATACCATCTCAACAAGAATCCCATCCAAGCCTTCATGCAAAGAAGTTGGAACATCCACCCAACGTGAAGACCGTGCAACATGCAAATTGTACCCCACAAAACTAATCATTGGACGACAATACTTCCTGTAAAAGAACATGGCGATAAACAAGATAATTAAATGCCACTAAATTTCTACCAAACTACAAATTGTCAAATATTACAAGAGTTTCCCCGTGATAAAGTAGCACAAAACATGCATAATACCATAAATAACATCGGCAAATGGCTAAGTCAACTTTAGCACCAGTTAAATACGTAGTTTCTCAATTTATTCAAACTAAGCACTTATCTTCACCTAACAGATTGTTCTGAGAAGACTCGGCTACAGATACTCTACTCTGAACATCGTCAGAACAACAAAGTAATTCTTTATTATAACATTCACCACACTGTATACTTAAGAAACTTGAATTCTACTCTTTCGAGTAGATTATTGGTAATACAGGAACTGTTACGTCATTAATATCATTGTTCTTGTCATCGAATTGTTTTGTAAAGGCCTAGTTGTTCCTGTCATCAAATTGTTTTGTATATGAGGCATAAGCTTATCTCAGAAGTGTTGCATTTCAACCATTGAGCACCTTCATGACAGTACATACTCAATTACTCATTGTTGGGAAGAAGCTATTTTCCAGGCAGTTCTTTGTTCTTTTTCACTTAAGTGTACTCACTAACTAGTAGTCTTCACGGATAGTATTTTTCCAGTTCGTTCATGTTTCTTAAACATTATGCCTTAGGCACTGTTATGCCTTCTCCCAGTTCCAGTGAAGTACATTTGCAGATAACAATTATATCATCTTTCCTGTGCTTTCCAAGAAATAAGAATAGTAAATAGCAGTAAGGCCAACACAAATAACTCTCTAAAGGACTGGTCAAGATGCTCCCCATGATGCTTGTCATCAACCCTTTGATGCCACAGGCCTTACCTGCATTCTTTATGAAGGTATGTGGATCTACATCACAGGGACAGTATCAAATATGCCACAGAATAATAATATATGACTATCAATTGACTCATTCAGTCCAGGCGCTCCTGGGACCCCACGACTCCCTGACCCCAGCAGTCTAGCAACCCCACAACTCCCCAACCCCAGTGCTCCCCCGAATTGCTCATACCACCGCTGCCAGCAACGGCGGTGGTGCCTCTCTTCCCCCAGCTCTTCTCCTTTCTCCTGTCCCCTTTCCCCCTTTCTCCAGATCCAGATCTGGATGCTTTCTGGCAGAGCTCTGTGAGGAGGCCAGTCAACCAGTGGCCGCCTGGCGGCGACGTGGCGCATAGGGTCCAATGCCGCAGCGTGGCAGCATGCTGGCAAGGCCATGGTGGCTGTGTACATGGAAGGCGGCGGCACGTAATGGCAGGGCACTTGGCCTGATTTGGCTCGTTGCCAGCTGGCCGTGCGAATTCATTGCGCTGACGCTTCCATTTCCCTGCTCCACGCTTATGTCTGCTTGCACTCTGATGCTCTTAGCAATAGAAGGGAATGGAAGATGTACTCCGCATAGAAGAAGTTCCAGAAGGAGAAGGGCCTAGTGCCTTCCTAGTTCAAGGACTATGTTGTGCAGCCTTTCTTTCGGCAAGTGGGACTGGCAGCAGCAGGTTCATCAAGCCTGCTGGATCCCGCAGCCTCCCCCGCCTCGCTGTCGCTGGTGGCTGGCTGCGGCAGGGCAACAGGAAGGGCTAGTTTCATTCTTCCCCTTGTCACGTCCACTGGTGGATCTGGCAACGACAGGCAGGTGGCGGTTGGGTGGGCTAGATCCACTTCTCCCCTCCCTCCTTATGTTTGGCCGCCTAAGGCCTTGTTTGGTTACGCTTGGATTCAATCCGGTCCGGGAATAACAAGTATAGTAAGAAATTTATGATAGATACAATGAGAGACCGGGATTTATTCCGGGCCAGGAACCAATTTACTCATGATAGGGACAATAAGAGACCGGGATTAGTTCCACACCTCTTGACTAGTGGATTGATTCCCGGTCTCTTATTGTTCATATCAAGAGTAAATTGGTTCCCGGCCCGGAATAAATCATGGTCTCATTGTATCTATCATAAATTTCTTACTATACTTGTCATTCCCAGCCCGGATTGAATCCAAGCGTAACCGAACAGGGCCTAAGGTGGGGAACTCCACGGGAGGCAGCGTGTTTCAATTGATGGGTGGGATGTACTAAGGGAGTGTAGATCAAGCTACTTCTCAAGACTGCCTCAGTGCGGTTTTTGTTCAACAGGGTTCAGCAAGCAGCAAATTGCATATTTTTGGCAGAGCGATTTTGACATCAAAGTTTCTAAGCAAAAAAGTGATGTAATGGGTTGGTGTTGCACCAAGGATAGAGCAAGTTTGAAGCAAGGACATAGAAGAAGATCTGAAGCTTAATCTTTTAGCTTTTCTTTTATTTTCAGTTATGAGGTTTAGGGTCTAAATATCCTAATTATAACTTTTGGCTATGTGTATGGATATAGAGGCCAGATTTATATACATATGTACTATTATAAAAATTGAAAATATTTTTGCCGGTATTTTGGTATGTCATCCATGTATAAGTCAGTTTTTAAGTTCGTTTGCTTTTGGAAATACATATCCGTATTTGAGTCGGTTTTTAATATTGTTCACTTTTGATAATACAGAAGGAATCATATAAGAAATCCGTTTAAAAAAACTCGCATGCTAACTTGAGACGATCGGACTCCTAACTGCAGCTCATGATTTTCTAAAAAAATATATATCCAAGCGAACTCCCACAGTGAATTTTATCTTAACTAAACCATATAACAATAATAAGATTAAAATAGACTTCACCCGTTGCAACGCACGGGCATTTTTTCTAGTTATCTAAAAAAAATATGCTGCAATTATTAGTCTTCTCAGGTCCCATTCAGGTAATTTGGTGTTTCAGCATAACCACTGAAAGATAAATTGGCTTGAAGGGTGCTTATAGCAGAAATTCTGTCAACTAGTATACTAATTTTAAATAGGCCCTGCCACTGCCTCACTAGTCTTAGCTGAATTACATACTAAAGGAGCGCCTAGTGCCTTTAATCATGTACAGAAACTTAAACTATATATACAGGAAATCATGCATAAGATAAAACAATAAACAAGCATGTAGGACCTTAGTTTTGATATGAATGGTGGTCTGAAGACGAATTTTTCAGTCCAATATTTCCAGTTTTAAAGTTCAAAAATCATCTGAATATATGCTCAGCCATTTCCTTAAAGGGAAAAGAGGAGGAAAGAAGGTTGGCATCATGGCATGTAGCACCATCACACAGCACTGCAGAGTTTATGCAGTACTCCTTAAATTGCATCACTCATCCTGCATCTAAATTGATAGTCTCATACACATGCACACACAAGTAAACAGGAACGACATCTCATCCAGCATGTATGAGCCGCTGACCCCAGTCAAACATCAGTTAAGAAGATCATCATTAATTTAAAGCATAAAGAATACCCGGTTGTTTTGAAATAGTCCCACCATTTCAAAATGATGTTAGACGGCAAGAAAGGAGTAAAACTCATACTATGGAAAAGCATTCCAATGACATTCCCCTTTTTGTTTATAGCTGGGCCTCCTATTGCAGTCTATAAGGAAACAACAAAACAACCGTATTATGCAATGAACAGGATAATATACTAATATATTTGAAGAAACTAAAAATATACTTACAAATGTGTTTATAAATGTTGCTCTCAGCATTTCTTGACAAATCTTAGGTAGATCAGCCCAACGTTCAACACTAGTAATAAAGAAGGGGATAAGAAAAATAGATTGTTTCAATGATAATGTCTTTAACCTTATCTATAGTAGTCGACTATATATAAAGAAAATACTAGTAATTATTCTTCCAACCCACCAGTTTGTTTACTATTTTGTTTGCAATTCATGTTTTTTAAGTCTTGCCTATATTCTCCATTCCTACTTTACAAGATATATACAAGGGGAGAATTATTCATCCAACAGACCAAAACTTGTTTTACCGTTTTGTTTGCAATTCAGTATGTTCCTTTAAGTATTGACCACTTCTTATATATTCGTTCTTTATAAGATCATATTTAAGATAAATTATGCCTATTCCAACTACAATGTTGGTGTTTAGTCCATAGCCACAGTTATCACCCTTTTGGCAAGTATGTTTGATCAACTTAGACTAGTGTTTGGTTTGCTATCACCCTTTTGGTAGGCAACTAAATCTTAGCTTAATGCTCAACTTGTTATAAACACAACTCCTTGTCAAATTCTGATTAACTTGTGCCAAGGATTTCTTAGCCACAAAAAGGTGGTATGCCACAACTTAGCACAAAAGGTTTGGCATGCAACCAAACAACCACTGATTTTGTGACATGTAAAAATTAACTGAAATATGAATTTACATAAAGATCATGATAAGAAACTAGTTAGCTGTTATAGTACCTGTAAATTCCACGATTCGCTTGAAGCCCAAAGGGCTCCTGAGATTGTCGACCAAGTCCAATAATTGTATCCCCAGGGCAAAGCTTGTAACGGGTTGAGTGAGGCTGCAGCATTGCTATACCATGATAGGCATCCCTTGCAGTTCTGCTCTCATTGATTTCCACAAACTTCATGGTTTTGACAACAGGGTAAAATAAAACAGACAAGACCAACAAATTCCAGTGATGATCACATGCTATTATGGTAGCATCGTAAGAGACACCATCAAATAGATAGATATTTATCTACAATAAATTATGTATCAAAGTTTAGTAACAGAAAACTAAACAGATGTGAATTAATAAAAAAAATGTTACCTTTTCAACGTCAGGGAAAGCAGGATCATGAATGTTTACAGTTGCAGATGAAATTATTGTCCCAATCATACTAGATTTATCAAAGTCTATAATAAATCCCGAAGCTTTATACAGTCGATCACCATCAACTACAAGACATAATATATTCATATATTAGGGGAAAAATAACACGCAAAAAAATGAAACCTACTTGGTTGCATCATAAAATCTTATCATTAACAGTTTAAAGTTTTCAGGCCAAGTATCTCGTTGAAAAGGTGTAATCTTTGTCAAAAAGTTTAATTTCAATGTGTACAACATAGAAGAGCTTAACAGTTCTTATGAAGAATCAAGCATCATATCCGACAGTTAACAAATGTGTAGTCTTTTTTTGTCCAACTTGGTCAAAAGTTCAAAATATAAATCCTTTTGGCAAATCGAAGTTCATTGCAGGCTAGGGAATAATAATAATAATGATGTAATATTTAAGAGTTAAGATTGTATTACAAGTTTGTACGAGAAGAGAGAGAGAGAGAGAGAGAGAGAGAGAGAGAACGAACCGTCAAAGGAGACGACGCTGACGACCGCCTGGGAGACCCGCGCCACGACCTTCCTAGTTTCTGCGTCTATGGGCAGGTTAGCCTCTCGAGGTATCACCAACACTTGATCCTCTAATTTCAATCAGGGGATTAGTAATTTTAGTCCCGGTGACGACCATCAAGCAGGAAACTAAGGCTTGGAAAAAGAAAGAAAAAAAAAGATGGGATTTTTGCAGGCTACCTGGGCGGCAGGAGCAGTGGAGGAGAGGGATTTGGGCAGGGAGATTCCAGGGGTGCTTCGTGGGCACGACGGGGTTGATCGCCCTCTGCTTCGCCGGCGGCTCGCCGGTGTCCGCATCCCTCGCTGACATCTCCGCGCGGTGTGCAGTGCAGGCAACAACAATCAAGTGCAACAGGGGCGGACGGATCTAACGCGGGACACGAACGGATGGATCTAACGCGGGATGGATATCGGCGCCGGCGGCGGCGAACTCGCAAGGAGGGGCGAGACGGGTGGTGGGAGGACGCCGAGCCGAGGGGACGGGAAGACAAAGGCCTTCGTTTGGGTCGATACGATGCCTACCAAAACCCCCACACCCAAAAATCTCATCTACTCCCACCGTCTCAAATAAACCAATTTACCATACAGAATAATATAATTATATTGGTGATACATAAATTTATTATTAGATAGGTATAATTTAATACGTAAACTTATAAAATGTCTGTTTTGGTGCACAAACTTATTTAATTCGTGAAAACCATGACTACAAAGGCTTAACAAGGTTAATTTTAACTAACTTAGCTCTATTCTTATAAAAATTGAAGATATTTTTGCCAGTACTTTGGTACGTCATCCGTGCATAAGTCGGTTTTAAGTTTGTTTGTTTTTGGAAATACCGACTAAGTTGGTTTGTTTTTGAAATATATAAGGAATCGTATAAGAAATCTCTTTAAAAAACTCGTAACGATTAGACTCCTAATTGAAGTTCATGATTTTCTAAAATAATATATTCAAACGAGTTTGCACAATAGATTTCACCTTAACTAAAATGTATAACAATAATAAGATTAAAATAGCTTTCACCAGTTGCAACGCACTGGCTTTTTTTTTCTAGTATTGATTAAAATGTGATGTGCATGTATGCATAAGACGTGCTATATTTATAAATGAGGAATTTCATAAATTTTCTTACTGTCGACGGGGGATACCCCTTATTAAATGATGTATAAGTAAGAGTGAAAGGATGATCGAGCGTAAAATAGGAAGAAATTTGGATGATAAGTGTGTCGAAGTTTGATGTCGCGATTCCGGTATTTGCATAGTATGGGGATCGTTGGTACTAGGGTATACGCGAGACTGACTGAGGTAAAAGAGATGGAGACGGGGATTTTTATACAGGTTCGGGCCCCTGAATTGTCAGGTAATAACCCTATATCCTGTTAGCCGAAGCCGGTATTGCTCTTATTCACCATAATCACACCAGTACAATATTTGGGGTAGCCTATCTAACTGTTATCGACTTGGCGGTCTGTAGTTCTGACTCGTAGTCGACAACAGGGTAGTCTTCCTCCTTGAATCCGTGCCCGGCGAGATCAGAGACAATGCTATGTCTTTCCTGACAGTATCTGGAGATACCGTAGGGGACTAGCCGTGCTTATCCCTAAAATTGATATCTGGCGTCTTGTCTTGGCGTATGTTGGCTTGTATTGGCTTGTGGCGTCTATGTTGATTGTGTGTTGATTGTCTGTGTCCCCTCTCCTCCTAGGGGCCTTGTATTTATACTCATAGGTGTCTCCTTGTCCAAGTAGAACTAGGGAAACCAATACGGATACAATCCGAGTAGTCCTTGTTGTTTCCATGTAGAACTCTGGTTGTCTTTCCATATCCGGAACTCCTCCTATATCCGCAGGCTGTTTCCGTATAGGACATGGTATGTGGTGGATCCTGCCGAGATTTAGTCGACTACTATTAGGTATGTGGTATCCATAACCCCGACAAAGTGATTAATGGAACCGTTAAGCTGTGTTCGGGAGGTGAGGCTGCACACGTAAAACGGAGCGACGCATTTTCTTATGATTAATTAAATATATACTAATTATTATTTTTTTTTTGAAAAAATGAATTAATATGAATTTTTAAAGTAGCTTTTGAAAAAAAAACACCGTTTAACCATTTAAAAAACATGCGCGTAGAAAACGAGGAAAGTGAGTTGAGAAAGTTGGAGAAAGAACTCAGCCTACACTATTCAACTATTTTAAGACAAATTTAAGTTATAGAAATATAATTATTATGGGACAAAGGTATTAGTGTATTATGTTCACGATACCCTATTTTAGATGCGGTCTATTATTCTTCTCTCTCTATCTCTCCATGACATGTGACTTTTCACGATCTAAAAGCGTTGATTTGATAATTAACACTGTTTGAAATCTAGTTAAGATAGTTACACATGTTATTCTCAAAATTCACAACGGGAAAAGGCGTCAAATTATTAAATTTCTCCCTCGCGACGCCGTTTCGGACTACTTGCGTGGTGCGCCTCACATATCACTGTAGCAACAGTGGTGCGCCTCACATATCACATATCCCATCGCTACCGCAAATCGAGCTTAGAGCAGGAAAAATAAGAGGAGCTGTAAACATATTTTAAGTAGGTAAATGAGGAGAGAGAAGAGAAAGGGGCTACAGATTAGTAAGCTGTAGCACGGACTCTAAAACGCAGTGTGTATATGACAGGTAGGACTATGTATTAATAGTGTACTACTCCGTAGTATGTAAAATGAGCTATTAGATTGACTATAGATAAATTGGAGCTAGTAGTTGACTGTAGTATTAAACTTGCTCTAATAGTTAATACTTTCATTGATCGTGCATTAATTCCGTCTTGACTTATACGGTGTTTAGCAATTTAAAAAAAGTACTCATTGTAAATAAGAGATTTATTAAAGCCAAACTCGGAGGCAGCTGGCCTACAAACGCTTTTTTTTCTTCTCAGCGTGTACTCCCTCCGTCCAAAAAAAAAAAAGACAAACCCTGGGTTTCCGTATCCAACATTTGATCGTCCGTCTTATTTAAAAAAATATGAAAAAATTAAAAAGACAAGTCACGTATAAAGTATTAATCATGTTTTATCATCTAACAACAATAAAAATACTAATTATAAAAAAATTTCTCATAAGACGGACAGTCAAACGTTGGACACTGAAACCTAGGGTTTGTCTTTTTTTGGGACGGAGGGAGTATGTCTCACCATGGCTGGCTTTCATGAAGGGGTGACGGCAGATATATACATAGCATCTCACTTACACTTTCATCATCATTTTGTGCGCTTTCCAGAGGAGGAAGATTTACATTCTTCCTATTTGACCCGAAACCGATCGATCTAGCCATGAGCAGGTTGAAGAGAGCTAAAATGATTAATTGAGTGATATGGTTGAAGGGACAAGGTAATTTTATAAGTTACTTCCACTTTGACTCAACTAGGATGATGAAACTAATCAAGTGTGCATAACACTAATGGGTTACATAGGTACATCTTAATTGAGCTAGGTCATCACTCTAGTAGGATGCATAATAATAAAAAGATGAACAGGTCGGCGATTAAACTAGGAAAAAAATACCCTTGCGATGCTAAAACTCAGTGCGGAGGTTGGGGATTGATCCCTATGTGAACCGCTGGACTCTAGCCGGCTTAATGCCTTTCTAGCTTTACATGCTACTAAAGTAATTATGCACATGCAATACATGTATTTGAAAAAAAAAATAAACTAAACATGCTATATATAGGAGCCCTGTTTTTTAAAAAAGTGTATTATCATACATGTTACTCCAATATGTTTACTTGGATCTTCATGCAAAAGCACAACAAAATATTATATGTCATACCACACGATAATGATCTACCAACAACAAATACTACTATTAGGAATGACCTCAACCAACAACCGGAACACAACAGTATAAGAGTGGAATTCCTTTTATCGCCCTCGCAAATAATAAATCATTTTTGTCGGCCGTAGAACACCCAAACAAGTACACTTGCAGGCATACTGTGGTTCATAATTTTGTTTGATTTGTCCTAAGAGTACAATTCCTTTTACTGGTCAAGCGCAGGAAGCATAGGCAGAATCAGACAATGGCATTGCTTTACGTTTATTACCAACTAAATAAAAAATTAAACCATGAAGTGAACATAACAAAAATAATAGACACAAACCTCTGCTAAGTGAAGTTCGTAAACATAATAAAATGTAAAGCGTGAAACAACAAGAATTAGTGTTGAACTAGTAAGAGAGTGAGTAATCAATCATACTCTTTTAATTAGCATCAAAACTCACAAGTATTTAAGATAATAACATCAGAAACATGTCGCTCTAAATATTTGAATATTTGATCATCACATACTTCAACAATGTACCAACACTAGAATTTCCATGATTTTTTCTCGAATACGCAAGAGAACTACGTATCACTGTAATAAGAAGAAGTATACGGATATTTACAACACCCCCACACACCCAAGCACCATAAACTAAAAGAAAATAAATGCAACAGATACAGGTTTAGGCCACAACCAACACCACCAAATTACACACATCTCTAGTTAGCAGCCACAACCAGCTGACAGCTGAGCCAACCTCCTTTGCTCCTTAACACCATAAGTATCCTTCCTCCAGAATTTGTACGTAAGGGGAAGAAGCTCCATTGAGTACGTAGTAATTTCGATGTTTCCACAAGAACCAAGCACCCAGTGTGATCAGCGACTCCGGCGGCACCCGGAATATTCTATGAATTTGTCCTGAGCAAAAAGGAAGGATACTCCAACAGTAAGAACAACAGATATTCTTGTTGGGAAAGCCTAACTGCTGCGGTACAAGTTTATATTTCAGAGACAGCAAAAGGTGATAATCGTGTTGCAGTGGTTGATTTCCAACATTTAATTTACTTCTATCTGCTGCATCCTGTGGGCACTCTTAGCAAGTACTTCTGAAATCGGACATGTCGACTGCTTTGTAGGATCAAATCACAAGAACTAAGCCAACCAGAGGGGGGTGAATGGTTGGTATACCCAAAAACCGAAAACTTTTAGCGGAAATAAAAGTTACCCTCGAACTCGATGGAGATCGGTCTGACCGGAGTAGATTAGCTGGTCTGACCGAAGCGTAGCCGCCGGTCTGACCGGTGTTGATCTACCGGTCTAACCGCCGAGATCGCCTGCCGCCTGCTGTCGCCGCCGCTGGTCTGACAGCCGTGTTCCCGCCGGTCTGACCGCCGCTTGCCGCCGGTCTGACTGCCGGTAGATCACCGGTTAGACCGCCGAAACCCGGTAAACACAAATCGAAGAACTCTTAAAGTGGATGACAACTTTATTGCTTCTCTCTGTGTTTACAAAGTGCACCAACAGCACTCCTTACAAAAATCTCGACTAAACTCGAAACCCTAACTAAACTAGCTCTCAAAAGCTATACAAAAACGATACCGGGAAGCCTCACGCTCCCCCTCTATTTATACATGAGGTAGGCAGCCTAAAGCCACAAACCAAACTCACACTAAGAGTCCTAAACACCTTAAGAAACCCTCTAGTACAAGAAA